TCCCTAGGCTGTAATGTAACCACTGCATTTTCTCTGAAAAAAAGTGTTTACTGCAAAAAGCCTGAAGGGAATGATACCAGAACAAACACAATAAGCTGTTGTAGTTGTTCTGGTGACTATATTGTCCCTTTACGTATTGCTTATTTAACACTTGGTGCATTATCAGTATTTGATATATTTGAGGTTTATTTGTGAATCTCTGAATTTTCACAACATCTGAATGGAGCAATGGGGACAAATGGCTGATGTGGAAAATGTCTCTACCTCTACAACAGGGCTATTTTATCCTTCGTTTTGCCATTTGGATTTAATTAGGAAAAATGTTTTTGTGTCTCACCCTCTGCCATCCCATAGTCTCTCTTTGTCATAGTGTGTGTGCTCCCTGTGTTTCGTGTGTGTGATATTAAACCTAATATTTATTCTAAACCTAATCTAAAACCTGAAAGGAACACTATAGGGCCAGGAACACAAACATGTGTTCCTGATCCTATAATAAAAACTCCATCTACTGTCTATTTTCAGTATGATAGGCAGAAATGTTACATAGCTGAAAAGAGACTTGCGTCCAAGTTCAGCTTTCCTCATTTAGTTTTTTGCTGTTGATACAAAAGGCAAAAAAAAAAACTCTTTGTAGCACTTCCAGTTTTTGCAACAAACTAGGAAAAAAAATCCTTCTTGACCTCAGAATGGCAGTCAGATTAATCCTTGGATCAAGAAGCTATAACTAGGGATCGACCGATATTGATTTAAAAAAAAAAAAGTTTTTTTTGAGCCAGTACCGATATTCTGTACATTTTTCCGTATTTGTAAAAAAAATTTGCAACGCGCCCACCTCCTGCCGGTCACTCCAATCTAGCTCCCTCCGGGCCGGTGCGCCCTGTGGCGGCCGCTTGTGCTGCAATATGGACGCGCTGGCCCACCCATTCATTATCGGTATTGCCGGTGATTATCGTCCGATGATACTTACAAAAAATCGGAATATCTGCGATAACATCGGCAAAACCGATAACCGTTCAAACCCTAGCTATTACCCTACATAGAAAAATTATATTCTGTTTTTGCAAGTATGCAACTAGTTGCTGTTTAAAAATCTGTACTGACTCTGATAAAACCACTTCTTCAGGCAGGGAATTCCACATCCTTATTGTTCTTACGGAAAAAAAAAACATTTTCTTTGCTTTAGACAAAATCTTCTTTCTTCCAGTCTAAACACATGACCTCGTGTCCTATGAAAAGTCTGGTTTGTGAATAGATTGCCACACAATGGTTTGTATTGGCCCCGGATATATTTGTATGTTATCATATTCCCCGCTGTGGCAACGTTTTTCGAAACTACTGATTTTTAAATTTATTAACCTTTCTTCATAGTTGAAATGTTCCATTCCTTTTATTTATTTTGTAGCCCGCCTCTGCATTTCTTAGTTTTTTTTTTTTGTGCTATAATATCCCTCTTTAGAACAGGTGCCAAAAATTGCACAGCATATTCAAGATGTGGTCTTACCAGTGATTCCTGAGAATTAATTCCCTCTATTTATACATGACAATACCTTACTGGCCTTAGCAATTGTCGATTCACATTGCATATTGTTGCATAGTTTATTGTCTATAACAGTGGTTCCCAAAGTGTGGGTCGCGCTGACCCACACATGCAGGGCCGCCGGCTAGTCAGGCAGACTGACACCAGGAGGGAGCCCAGCGGCTTGCCCTGTATGCCGCCGAGCTCCCTCCAATCAGTCTGCCCGGCAGCTCCGCCGGGTGCAGAGCTGCAGACTGTGTGATAGAAGTCTTGCGAGCTCCCAGAGCGTTACCATGGCAACACTCTGGGAGCTTGTGAGACTAATTACACTGTCTGCAGCTCTGCACCTGGCGCAGCTCAGACCGGAGAACCACAGGACCACCAGGGAATTTATTAAAAGGTAGGCCACAGACCCTGCCCTCCCCGTAACTTCTTTACTCCCTCTCCCCCCGTAACCCCTTTACTCCCTCTCCCCCCGTAACCCCTTTACTCCCTCTCCCCCCGTAACCCCTTTACTCCCTCCCTTCTCTCCCCCGTAACCCCTCTCCCCTCGTAACCCCTTTACTCCTCCCCCCTGCTCCCTCTCCCCGTAACCCCTTGCTCCCTCTCCCCCGTGGCCTTTGCTCCCTCTCCCAACCCCTGCCCTCTCCCCGTAACCCCTCCCTCTCCCCGGCCCCTTTGCTCCCTCTCCCCGGTAACCCCTTTCCCCTCCCCCAACCCTTTACTTCCTCCTCCCCGTGACCCCTTCCTCCTCCCCAAACCCCTCCCCATGCCTTCCTCCCCTCCCCGTGCTTTTCCTCTCTCCCGTCTTTCTCCCTCCCCCTTCTCCTCTCCCCGTAACCCCGCTTCCCTCTCACCCGTAACTTTGCCCTTTCCCCCTGACCCCCTCCCTCACCGTGACCTTCCTCCCCCCCGTGACCAGCGTGCTTTGCTCCCCCCGTGGCCTTTACTCCCTGCCGCTGTGGCTTCCTTTGCTCTGCCAAGCTTGACTTACCAATTTTGTATGCCTCTAAAATGGATTGCCACGGTGTGCCAATTGTATGCCTCTAAAGCGGATTGCCACGGTGTGCCAATTGTATGCCTCTAAAGCGGATTGCCACGGTGTGCCAATTGTATGCCTCTAAAGCGGATTGCCACGGTGTGCCAAGTGTATGCCTCTAAAGCGGATTGCCACGGTGTGCCAATTGTATGCCTCTAAAGCGGATTGCCACGGTGTGCCAATTGTATGCCTCTAAAGCGGATTTCCACGGTGTGCCAATTGTATGCCTCTAAAGCGGATTTCCACGGTGTGTCAATTGTATGCCTCTAAAGCGGATTTCCACGGTGTGCCAATTGTATGTCTCTAAAAGTAATGGTCATGGTGTGCCAATTGTATGCCTCTAAAGCTGATTGCCATGGTGTTTTAAAATATGCATTTAAAGCAAGTGGGTCTCGAAGAATTACAGTTTTGAAAGTGGGTCTCTGCCAAAAAAGTTTGGGAAGCCCTGGTCTATAACAATTTCCAAATCCTTCCATTCTTTACGCTGAAGTGCATTTTTCAACATTAAATTTCATCTGCCATTTGAGTGCCCAGTCCCCCAGTTGATCTAAATCCCTCTGCAGCAAAGTAATATCTCGTTCATATTGTATTACTTTACAGAGTTTTGTGTCATCTGCAAACACTGAAACATGACTTTCAATGCCTATTTCAAGATCATTTATAAACATGGTAAATAGAAGGGGTTTCAGAACAGAACCCTGAGGGACACCACTTGCCACCTCTGTCCAGCTTAAAAATGTACCATTAATAGCAACTCTTTGTACTCTATCCATAAGCCAATATTCTACCCAAGAACAAGAATTTTCATCTAGACAGATTTTTCTTTGAGTTTGAACACTAATCTATTGTGTGGAACTGTGTCAAATGCCATGGCAAAATCCAAATAGATCACATCCACTGCAACACCCTGATTTATACTTCTACCTGTGTAATGAAATCCCCTATTTACAGACTATACGAACAAGCCTGTTTGGTTATTTGGAGAATTACAGAGGGATTTCGTAGAAATAACAATAAATGCGAATGAACTACCGAACCACTGAGGTCGTGTGGCGCCTATTGACCTCCCTGACTGTTGCGGTTAACCACAGACTAATTGGGGAATACCTGATGGTCCACGTTCGTCTACCAAACACGTGGCAATCGCCATTTTGTTTTGTCGAACGCACAGCGGTAGATGACACAGATTCCCTGGAACTGATTTCGGCTACCTATTTTGTCGAACACCGCTGTTACCTTCTCTCATCCTCGTTCATACGGTGGAAAACACACGAATGAAGGGGATAATACTTCATTCGTGCGCTGAAAGTATGCGAACGTAATCGACCCCAGATAGTTAGAATATGGAACTTGGAGTCGGCTACAAACACACGAACGGCCGGTGAAAGGCAAACTTCAGTCGACGATTCTGAGACCTGTGTTCATGGGATCTGAGCGCTATTCGCCTAGAATATGCCCTCAGATCCAAGCTATCTGGGGATATGTGGAACTTAAACTTTACTAAGAAAAGCCATGTTTTTCTTCCTGGAGATAATTAAGGCTCTCTTTGCTACCTTAAGTTAATTATCTCCAGGATGGAAAAGAGGGAGTGATTTAGGTAAAAGGGGAGTGCTTATACTATAGCCACTGTGATTGGCTACTGTGTTACTTTTGTCCCAGTCTTCCATCTGGTCCCCTAGGGGAGTGTCTACCAGGTGGAAGACCTGCATAAATACCGGGCGGGTAGCCCACAGTAAATCAGATCGTTTTACCCCTTCATGAAGTCTCGACTAATGTTTGGGGGATTGGGAGTTATAATCACTTCGTTTCAGTTGAAGTTCGGGAGAAGCTGCAAGGATCATCGCTGTACGAATGCAAGGATCCTTTACAACCTACTTCATAGAATGCAATCAAGTTACACTAAAAATTGCATGCCCACTGGCAAAGCACAGCACTGCTGAAAATGGCATTGTAAAATGGAGGGAATCCTTCCAGTGTTTGTGCAGACTGTTGAGGACTCCCAAGCACCAGCTCCACTGAAAGAATGATCGTGGCTGAGCTTTGCCGCTGAACCACAGTATTTTCAATACAGTGCCGACTTTCATAGCAACTCATTTGTCAGTCAGAGGCCACTAAAATGTGATTACCTGGGGTGAGCAGGAATTTAACCCTGCTGACACTGCATTGCAGCAATTGGGATTTAAAAATGTATATGTATGTCAAATGTTACCCTGTTAAGTAGATATTCAGTTCTGCAGGCCTTGTTGAAGGACTATCCACACTTGCAGTGGCGAGTAACTTTTAAGGCCTGACTGTTCGCACAGGACTTTAAATTTAAAGAGATGTCTATTTATTTGACTTAAATTTCAATACAAATATTACATTTTACAATGTTAAAGTGGTTATTCAGCGATATTATAACCATATCATGCTTTTACTTGCTGTTTACTGTTGTCTGTTTTGTTAGGCTATATTGGTTGTGACATGGGAAAGGATGAGGGTATCCCAGTGAGAGTGGCATTACGCTGCCGTCCTCTTGTGTCCAAGGAGATAAATGAAGGATGTAAGACATGCCTTACATTCATACCAGGAGAGCCTCAGGTGAGTGGCATATAACCTAGCTTGAGCTGTGTTTATTGCATAATTAATTTTGATTCATATCCTTATCTTTTTGTTTTTTATTTAAACAGCTAATTGTGGGTACCGAAAAGTCGTTTACTTATGATTATGTCTTTGATCCAACAACTGAGCAGGAAGAGGTCTATAATGCAGCCGTTAGTCCTCTAATTAAGGGGTTGTTTAAAGGTAATTTTTTTTTTTTCTTTTTCTTTTGATTTCTAATTTTCTATAGTACAGAGATAAGAATGGCATTGTACTTGGTGATAAATGTGACTGCAGGTAAAATTTAAAAATGGTTAAAGAGACATGCATCTGTCATGATCCGCCTCTTAGGCTGACATCAGCAGAATTGATGATCTTATCCAATCCAATGCTTTATCAATGGGAGATCTGCAAGGAGGTGAGCCGGGACCAAACGCCGCCCTAGTCAATCCGTATCTCCTCTATGGGGAAAGCACAGTGTCTCCATCTGAAGCCTGGAGACTCTGCACACTGTGCAACACTGCCCCAGGTTGCACCTCCAATGGCCACTTGAGGTGTCCCTAGGCTGTAATGTAAACACTGCCTTTTCTCAGATGTGTACTGCAAAAAGCCTGCAGAGACTGACTAGACTCCACAAGAACACATTAAGCTGTAGTTGTTCTGGTGACTATAGTGTCCCTTTAAATATCATTTGCATTTTATTATAAACTGGCTCTGGCTCTTTCCCCCCCACCCCCCCTGCTATCACGAGGTGGGTGTTTTTAAATAAATTTTATTATTGGGAAAACTCTGTAATGCCAAATAGAATACTGTTGTGTGGACAAAGTAAGCCGCAGAATTAGATCTACTTTGACCAGTTACATTGCATTAATCCGTGGTTTTGTTAAGTTTGGAATTGTTGGTTAGATAACACAGCAGAACTGTGCATTCGTTTTGAAAGTTTAACTGCAACGTGTACAGACTAATGGTGTCTTAACACATTTTTCCTTTTGAAATGTTGATAAAGTATGTCTTGATTTTAACTAAAAGATTCTTTGAAGTATGTTGCATGAAGTTGTTGTGCCCAGTAATATGCCTATGGTTCCTTTAAACCAACGCTTTTGTGTTAAAATGTTTCTTTGTTACATTTTGCAAAGAATTGGAGAGGTAAAACATACAAAGCAAATATGTATATCAATGAGCAATTTAACAGATATATAGTTGAAAATAGAACATCTCAAAGTAAGCTGTGCTCAGCATGTGAAAACTGTAAACTGTAAGATAATCAGTAATATCAAACATGCACGAAATGAAAATGCATGGTAAAGCAAAGCCTAGGTAGGCGAGAGAAGGAAAAAAACCTCCATTACCTACCTAAGGATAGCTTTACACAGTAACGGGAAATGACATCGCATTAGTATGTAATTAAAAGAACACTCCCAAACACCATAACAACTACACTTTTAAAGTAGAACTGTCAATGCTATGATTAAAGGAAAACTTTAAGCACCATAACTATTACAGCTTGGTGGTTTTCATGCCAGGTGTACTTGGTGGTGGCAATTTTCACAGTGGGGCCCCATGGTTTCTAGTTACACCTCTGCGTGCTTGACAGACTCAGTCATGCAGGTTGAAGACCTCTTCACTTTGCAACATCTTGACCAGGAGAAGAGGCTGTCTGATCAGTGCCAGGTTTTTCTCCTGCTGCTTTTCAATGATGCTCTGCTTCTGTTAATCCATATATGGCACACATAATTAGAATGGTATAAACTGTCACGTGTTGAAAAGGCCAATGGGAAGCTGAAATGTTTTAGTGGGTTTCTATCTTTTTGGGGCAGAGTGGAAAATTATTTAACACATTGGACAAATAGATTTTGTTTTGTTTGGCAGATGCCTTTGTCATGAAGGGGCTAAACTAGTTTGACTTTAAAATTTATTTTTTTTCTTTAAATCTTTTCTGTAAAGGCTACAATGCTACAGTACTTGCCTATGGACAGACTGGTTCTGGGAAGACCTTTTCAATGGGAGGCGCATATACTCATGATCAAGAAAATGAACCAACTGTGGGAGTCATTCCACGCGTTATCAAGGCACTCTTCGATGAAATAGAACAACGAACAGATTGGGAGTTTCAATTAAAAGTTTCTTATTTAGAGGTTTGTTTCCTTATTTCTCTTGAGCAAAAGGCTAAAACCATAACATGCAGACAAAAAAAAAGTATGATGCCAAATAACACTATAATACTTTTTTGTGTGTGTAATTGTGCGATAATTGCCTTGCTGCACCAGCTTGGTGCTTTTTTTAATAGAGAACCAGAATCTAGGGCTTCTCTGAGAACCATTCATAATATTCATTGGCATCATGCTAGGAGTGATGATGTTTAATGTGAAGACCTGAGACTTGCATTTCTTTAATGAGGAAGTACCTTTAGTGGCTGTCCTGATGTCCGCATAACCACTGATGAGGTGATCATAACTAGTGTACACAAATGGGAACTCACCATAAACTAGACAAAATTGGAGAGCATGCGTGTGACATGGGAATAAGGGGAAGTTGGCATGTAATGGGAGTATGCAAAATATAGGGTGATCTAAAGGTGTTCAAAAACACTCTTGCGCACTGGCCTCTACAAATACATCCCTGAAATTGCACACATTAACACTTTGCACAACTACACTACTGCATTCACATCTACTGAATCGCTGTAAAATGCTGGACGTATACATTTTGAGAGAGAGAAAGGTCTGCCTCTCTAGGTTAAGCGCAATGGTTGTGTTTTAGGAGTAATGTGTCCTATGAAGGCTTCTTTTTAGCTTGACTTTTGCCTTGAGTTGCTTGTATATCAGTGATTGTGTTTTCATTCACCATGGATAGTTTTTAATGCTTGATTTATTATTATCTTATACTTTGTTTTTACTCTTCAGATCTACAATGAAGAAATATTGGATTTATTGGACTCTCATAAAGACAAGTCTAGTTCAATAAGCATACGCGAAGACCCCAAAGAGGGAATTAAGGTAGGGCTTTGGAGAAAGGGAGAAGAAAAACAAATTGGTGGCAGGCATATTATTAAACAGTTTATTTGAAGTAAGCAGCAGATACTTAATGTAAACTGTCTGATTCACTTTAATGAATTGATAAATACAAATGTTGATTTATTTTATGTTGTCCTAATTACTTGTAAATGGACCCTTCCCTATACTACCTCTTTAGATTTTCGGTTTGACAGAACGTGACGTGAAGGCTGCCTTTGATACAGTGCATTGCTTGGAACAAGGGAATAATTCTCGAACTGTAGCATCTACAGCTATGAACTCCCAGTCATCTCGTTCACATGCTATCTTCACTATCGCTATTGATCAAAGAAAGGTGGGAGAAAAGTGAGTAAACTGATTTTCTACTGTGAATGTGCCACAATATCAAGAGTTTACTAAATATTCTTTAACCTGTTCACTACAGAAATTGTGTATACACAATTTTAAAGTTATGCTGCTCCTACCCCAGAGTTGTGTATAATTTGCAAAATTGCAAACAAATTTATATTCCAAACCTAAATAGTCTGCACTCTTGGTTAAACATCAGAAACGTAAGAGTCTAGCTTTCTTGCAGCATCACCTATACTATTTGGCTATTTACATTCAGGTTGTCTGATGTGCAGTGAGAAGCAGCTTCTCTAAATTACTCCCCTAAAGTCCATTCCTGTACACAATTGCCTCAAACAGGCTAAGGGATAACCTTAGCCTTGTCTATTGCTCACTGGATTACTAATACAGAGGTTCCATTTCACTATCAGTGATATCATCTTATGAGAAAAACCTATATAATGTAGTATAGAACTCCTTTCATAGTAAAAAAAAAAAAGTGCTCCACACAGTACATGAGTTTCTGCACCCAATAGGCATTATTTATTTTGGTGACATTTGCCAGGATTTCCCTTTAACCCCTTAAGGACCAAACGTCTGGAATAAAAGGGAATCATGACATGTCACACATGTCACACCAAAAATTATGGGACACTCCAGGGCACTTCTGGCAACATAACCACCATGGGGATGCTGTAATTCTTTTGTTTGGAGGGTTACCATGCTAATTTTGTTTGTTCATTTTCTAATCTTTACAGAAATAGCAGTTTTCGCTCAAAATTACATCTTGTAGACCTTGCAGGATCTGAAAGGCAGAAGAAGACAAAGGCTGAAGGTGATCGTTTAAAAGAAGGTCAGTCTAATCGTACAGTATATTCTATATCCAGGGATGCAGTTGTGTGTGAAAATATCCAGTAATTGAACTTTCCTGTATGAAATAGCTGTGGTTAGAATTTTTCTGATTTTTGCCATGTAAAAATTGAATGCATTATCTGTGCCTTTGTTTCAAGTAAGAGGATCTGCTATGCAATATCTAAACATCGTATTAGACTTTTTTTTTTTTTTTAACATTTTATACTCTTTCTGAAAAGCTGTATATTTCTCTGTTCTTATTTAGGGATCAGTATTAATCGTGGTTTATTGTGCCTGGGAAATGTCATCAGTGCATTGGGAGATGAAAGTAAAAAAGGCAATTTTGTCCCCTACAGAGACTCCAAACTCACTCGCCTATTGCAAGGTTAGAATCTCTTCAATACAAAGCCGGGTGCATTGTTTTCTTTACTGTATAGATCTGTGTTTTTTACAGTCTAGTTATGCAGTTCTGTAGGAATTTTTATTCATACCAGGATGGAATATGGTCAATTGCTATGTTTAGATAAGGGTAGTTTGTGAATTATTTTCCAGTTTTAAACACTAAAGCTTTGCTAGTCTAAAAGAACCTGATTTTATTTAACATGGGTAGAAGTGGCAGTACTCGCCACTGGTTAGTTGTCTTCCTTCTCAACCACTGAACAGGTCCTGAAAGCAGTAAAAGTGTTAAAGAAACCCCAACTACAACCCACACATAACTGACTTATAAGAGAGACCACCTATAATACATCCCAGTACTTGCCTTTCCCTCCAACAGGCTGGTTGTTCCTGTGGTTCCTCGGTTCTTTTATTTATTTTATTTATTTTAAGTGCTCCTCTGGGAAGCATTCTGTGAGTGCCTTGTTTCAGTATAGTATCATCAAGGTACCATTGTTTGGAAAGCATGCAAGTGGTGGATTCTTTAGTATGTAGACAACTAAAACAATATGTAATGAAAAACTAATTAGGAGTTAGGCCATCTTTTGTCTACATGAACTTTTATAAAAGTCCTGAAACCTGTAGAACTCTCCCACAAAAACATTAAATTAAACACCTATCATAATTCCAATAATGTTTATCCCCCCCCCCACACACAAAAGTTAAATAAAAACAATCATACATCCTTGGCACACTCAGTATGCCATGCCACATATACAAAACAATTCTTTAAGTATTACAATATCAAAGTCCAAATCTGTACAATTCAGAAATGAATGCCGATATATCTTCAGTTTATTGTGCAATTCGTGTAAGTATTAGTGACCTCCACAAATGTCCAAAGTACTCAAAAAATAAGCAGGCAAATACCCGAATGCAGTTTGTATGACCACATTAGCAGCAATAAGGTCTATTGGCAAGTTAACATCATGAACCTAGTGCCCCATGTTACCAAAAATAAAATGTTTCAAACCGTATAAATGAGTCTCTTATAGGGGTGTATATGAACCTCATTTATACAGTATATGATCTGATTAAAAATGTTACCATCACAAAACAAATTTTGAGAAAGAAAAATAGTCCTCCAAAACTTTTAAAATGTGTCTTACCCAGTCTTATGTGTCTCAGGGTTCTCAATGTGAAAAGGTTTCAGGCTTGTTGCTAATCTATGTATCTGTTATGCTTTGAGGCAGCAAACTTTCTTTGCTGCCTTGCTGCCCATGTATGTTTAGAAAAATACTTTTTAAATCTTATTTTTTTATTTTAATTTTTTTAACTAGGTTGTAACATTCTTTCATTTTTATAACAAATATAACCAGTGATGAGTATTGTAGATCCTGTTTATCTTGTTCCTGGAATTATAATTCTTATTTAAAAAGCACCAACAAATTTTGCAGTGATGTTGGATAGAGGTGGACTAAAACAAATATTTGCAATGAAGGTGCTGAGGGTCTTGCTCAAATGACCTTGCATTCATGAGATTCACTGTCCTATGTTTATATAGATTCACTTGGAGGCAACAGTCACACGCTTATGATTGCATGTGTCAGTCCTGCTGATTCCAACATGGAAGAGACTTTAAACACACTGCGTTATGCAGATAGAGCCAGGAAGATCAAGAACAAACCTATTATAAATACTGATCCACAGGCTGCAGAACTGCATCGTCTCAAGCAACAGGTAATAGACCAAATTTGAGGAGAGGAGAAACTATGCATGAATTTGAGTATTAAAATATTTTGTATTTTATTCTTTCCAGGTGCAAGAGTTACAGGTTTTGCTTCTCCAGGCGCACGGGGGAACGCTTCCTGTCCTAACAGGGTAAGATTTGACACTGGAGCTAAAACAGCATGTATTAAGAGTACTTTTATCTTTTTTTCATATTACAAATGTACATGGTGTTCTAAACTTTATTTTAACCTGAGAAATGATTACCATCTAATGTTTGTCCTGGCCATTTATATCCTTAGCATGGAACCATCAGAAAATTTGCAGTCTCTTATGGAAAAGAACAAAACTCTAGCGGTGGAGAACGGAAAGCTGAGTCGAGAACTGGGCGAGGCAGCACAGCAAACTGCTCAAATCCTTGAAAGATTTATCATAGTGAGTGTAAAATTGCAGTGGGACAATCTAGCATCCATTACAAACTGAACTCTCATCCTTCCATTGTTAGCTTCTGCTTTTATACTTCATATGATTGCAAGATGTATTGTGGGCAATAGGTATAAGGGAATCACACAATAAACAGACAACTCATTTAACATTTCATTGGGCTAGACCGTGGTATTTAAATTTAAAGCGGCATCAGCAGCCAATTCAATAACACATTAACTTCATATAACATTTATTTTAACACAACTTTATTAAAATCTATAATTCAATGCCCGGCAGTCATGGGTAAACTGACTGCATTTAATTCCATTCTCAAATAGGTTCATCCTCTAGTATTATTCGAGTGAATTTGCCCACTTCAGTTAGCATAAACTCTGACATGGCTCCTTCTTCTTAGTGTCTAACAGCAGTCAGAGAGTGCTCTTGCACTAGTGTAAATATATAATTCGAACTTTCTCGCTTTTTCACCTTGCAACTCCCTTGCCCAGTTACTAGGCAGCCCCTTGCAACAGGCACTATTAAATGACGCTTCTTCATAAATCTAGTAAAACAGTTTCAACAGGGCATATTCAGCATGCATTGATGCGATACAAATAAATCCATCTTCCCTTACCCATCTGATGCGTTTTTCAAAACCTCAACCAGATGTTAATTTGAGAACGACCAACTGAAACATCATTCAGTTTCAAACTTAACATTCTTACTAAAAGAAACCAACTCACTAATTCCAACAGCCAAGAAAGCCAGAGAAAATGCAGCAACAAATAATGTGAAAACCAAACCTTTTTTTTTTCCTAGTTTGTTGCAAAATTGGAAGCGCTTCAGACTGGGGTTTTTGCCTTCTTTTGGATCAACAGCAAAAATATGTGAGGAAGGCTGAACTTGATGGACGCAAGTCTCTTTTCAGCTATGTAATACTGTTACCACTAACTGCATGAATCGATCTGATCTGCAAGAATTAAAGTGTGGAAATCGTACCAATCATCCCATATTAACATATAAGAGCCCCATTTGCCCTGTTAAGTGCGGTCATAAGATTAGGCCTAGCTCTTCCAATATGAATTGCCATATGCATTCTGATAATTACATACTTTCTTCATCCGCCTCTGGTAGCACACATATAAAGGTTCTGGAAACCAGATATAGTGTTTCTGTATGGTCAGGCATAGGAAAATGAAATTTGATAAATTTAAGTATTCATATGTACTACTGATTTGTTTTTGTAGTGAAACCAAAATAGCAACCAGAATAGGGAGCAGCTGCAGTAAAGCATTTTAGTTAACTATTGCTCCACTCAATCATCAGGCTGCTGCACAAATGCCATTTTCATATTCCCATAAATACCAAAACCTACAGACCCTGCTGCATCCACACATAGTAGTAAGACCCAAGATGGTAACAGCCATAACTGCGGGAAAGGCTCCGCATTTTATGCTTTTAACTTCTGCTGAAACCCTAACAAAACAAAAATGACTTATTTTTTCAGGACAGGTTAAGAACTTTTTTTCTACATTAATCTTCCAGCAAACAAACCCAAAAGAAAATTACTTCAAAAATAAAATGCTACAAATCAAATTCTGCTTTTAAGTTCTCAGCTGGCACCCTGAATTCAAAAACCACTGAAACAATCATGACACCCAGAAGACACTGGGCCAACAGTCTTTTCTTCTGGTTAATGGAATATCCTAATAAATTATCCTAATTAAAAAACCTAATAAATTATCACAATCATTCCTCTGTGTATTACTTGGAGGATTTATTGTCTATTTGTTTAAAATCAAATCAGATTTTTTTTAATTTACACTTTTTTTTTTTTTTTTTTTAAATAAAACCAGAAGCGACAAGCAAAAATTATTTGCAAGAGTATTAAAAGAACAAGCACAGCAATCCTGCTAAGATACAACTCTTTTTCCAACTTACGCCCAACTGCCTCAACATCCTGAAAGAAAAAACTAATTTATGATTATTAGCAAACAATGATAACCTTTTAAAATTTAAATAACTACAACAAAAACTTTAAAACGATAACTTAGTTATTGGCTTTTTTGGATATATTTGCAGGTAAGGAAGCTGCCTTTCCACCTGCACTGGTGTCGTGATTTTTTTTTTTTTTACTGCACTTAAAGCATTCATGCTTAAATTTACATGTGTTGGGCCACTTAGATTGTTCATCACAGCTCAGCGGAGGTCTTTCTTCATAGATCCCACTATAGTGGAAATAACGGCTATACTAACAATCTTTTCTGGCAACCTCTGGGGCAAAATTAGATCAAAGCCAACCTTAATATTCAATTCAAATGATATGCTCACCTCTAACATTTGTTTAAATTGCTAGTCCTAATTAAAGCAAGCTTAACCTCAAAGAAACAGCCATAAAATTGAGAAAAAGCCTTGTTGCATGTGGCATTCAAAATCTACTTCATGAGCATTAGCAGCCGGTCCCACTTGTTCTAGGAAGGATTTATAATGTATGTAACCAGAATTTTTAAATACCGGTCTCTATGTAGATGGAAAAGAAATGTGTTGTACAAATGACAGTCTATAACTTTGTAAATATAGAGCATTTCTTGATTACAATGCTTGTTTTTCTACAAATCCGTTATCTCTGTATCTTATTGCATTCTGTCTCACCTTTATATTGCTGTTATACTGTAATATAAGCTATCTGTTCACAATTGCTAGTCAAATAGTTTAAAAAAACAATTTCTCTCATTTTGGATTTTAATAGATAATTTCTTGCAGCACATAAGTACTTTAACCCCTTAAGGACATATGACATGTGACATGTCATGATTCCCTTTTATTCCAGAAGTTTGGTCCTTAAGGGGTTAAACTTGTATAATTTGCATAGGCTGTACCGGGCATTTTTCTACCACTCGGAAGATAAACATTAAAAGTGTCGCTTTCTCTTCTTGAATCCGTTTACAGGCTGAACAAGAGAATGACAAGTTAAATAGCAAGATGGATGAGCTCAGACATCATGATGCGTAAGTTTGTGATTCATGCAATTCAGTGTACTTAACAGTCATTCAACATCTATGGAGAGGATTCCTAATTTGTAGCAAATTATGCAATACATTACCACATTGAAAAACTCTCATCAAAACTTTATTCAAAATTAGATGCCCTGTATAGACATAAACTCTCCGTAAGCAATACAGTAAGGAAACCGATTATTCAGCAAATGCTAATGCCAGTCATTGAATATAGGGATGTTTGCGCTGAACTCATCTTCATAAACTTTCTACACTGTATAACTCTTTTGGTCGCCTTGTGTTACAATATAATTACATGACCCACCGTTGTGACATGTTAAAAGAGCTAAACTGGCTACTTTGGAAATCCAGATGCACCCTCCATCTCTCCAGACCTTTAAGAGCTTTTCTGGAAAGCTCCCATCTTACTTGAATAGAATGCTCTTCCCATGTTTGTCCCCACCTTCTATAAACTCTGATACAGCACCAGCATTTTATTTAGCATGTCGCAATACAAAAAGAAACTGGCTCGATCCTCCTCCAAAGCACTGCAATTATGTAATAGCTTCTCGTATACCCTCAAATCCTCTCCCAGTATATATTTTTTTAAGAGTTCTGTCACTATATCTCTATACAGAATGCACCTGTAATCAGTTTATTTTATCTATATACGTTCTGTGTTAAATTTGTAGCTTAATAGTATTTTGTATTTTTATTGTAACAATGCAAGGTTTGTGGACCCAGGTCATGCTTGAAAACCATTTTGTTTTTGTTCGCCATGGTAAGTCATGTACTTTAAGCAGGCAGAGCATTGGTTACAGTGTTCATGTTGGGAGACCCAAGATGAGCATAGCCTACATTTTGTAATTTGTTGAATTCTTTTTTTTTTTTTTTTTCACAAATGTAAAGTATGCAAAATAAATACATTTAATGAAGGCATATAGGTCTTACATTACCATGATAATCTGCACCTCTAGTAAATCAGGATCACAGAAAAAGAAAAACAAAGGATTAGTGCTATTCAACCAAACTATAAGGAAAAGGCAGCACACTTAAAGAAAGGGGCACCCTCACGAACCCCAAAAAGAAAAGGACAATACAGCAAAATTAGAGGAAGGCTGCACCAATAATGTAACAAGCTATGCAAGTTTGCACATTTATTTTAACTTTTTATTGGTTATTTTTACATTTTGTAATTTTAATAAGTAAAAAAAGATATTGCCTAACTTTATTAACTGCCATTTTTAGGTGCAAACTCGATCTGGAAAGGCTGGTGGAGACACTAGAAGACCAGGAATTGAAGGAGAATGTAGAAGTGATTCGTAATTTGCAGCAAGTTATAGTAGAACTCCAGGTGAGGTTAAATTATCGCTATTTAATGTGTAAATCATCATATTATTTATTTTTTTAAATCATATATTCTAAATAAATTTTCTTGCGCGATCTCATTAGCTGATATAGAAAATAAAAAATAGTCTATGGACTAAAGGATGAAAGCCAAAACAGCAGCTTTATTTAGAGCAAAAGCACAGCAAAGTTTTGACCCAGTAGGGTCTTTGTCAAGCTCGGCAAAAAAAACCTTGACAAAAACCCTGCTGGGTTGAAACGTTGCTGTGTTTTTGCCTTAAATAAAGCTATTTAGGGTTTCATCCTTTAGTCCAGACTTTTTTTAAATCTCTGGATGTGAGACCTGGCTGTTCTCTGGTCTGGACCACGCTGGAAGCCTAGAGTGCTGTATCTATTAAGTTTTTATTTTTTAATCCTCATTAGTAGAGGCATAAAAGGTAACCTTGGTTTAATGAGTTGAAAGACACACCCATGGTATTGAAGATGCCAGCGTCCATAGGAAAGCATTGAGAATGCTTTCCTATGGACTGGCTGAATGTGCGCGCGGCACTTGCCACGATGGCGGCGAAAAGGAGCAGAAGAGTTCCCTGCGCCGAGGGAGCCTGTCGGGGAAAAAACAGGTAAGATTTAACCCCTTCCACCCCATAGAGCCTGGATGGGGTGGGGGGACTAGAGACCCTATAGTGCCAGGAAAACTTGTGTTTTCCTGGCAATATAGTGGTCCTTTAACATTTTTTTTTTTATTTTTTTTTTTTTAAGGTTTCTAGTGTGTTTTTTTTTTTTTTTTTAATTACCTTTTTTATGTATTGGTATTGCAAAACCGCTGGTTTTTAAATTATTTTACAGTGTTTAACCACTGCGGCCTCCTTTGTGTCTTGGCGCACAACAAATTGTGGTTATACATATGTTTACAGAAACCTCTCTCTGCTATGAATGGTCCTAGCTCCTTAGACCAAAGCTGACCTATAGAGCATATTTACAAGATACATGTATGACTGAGAGATGGGAGAACATAAACACAGACTGAAAATGTTTTAGAGCAATTCAGAGTGCACAATTAAATGGACACTATCGGCACCCAGATTTTGCATTCCTAACGCTAAAGAATCCCTTGAAAGTGTCAGTCACACAGTTTTATGCTGAGTGATTACATTGTTAGTCTGAGTTATGTCTTACCCCTTTTTTTTTTTTTCTTACTTTTTTAGATGACTACTGCATTTGACTGAATCTGTATATTTTTATTTTTATATCCATGTATTTCACTTGTGTATTCACTGGTTTTATATGTTGCAATGCTCTCTTCATTTTGTGCATAACCTTTTAATTGTGAGTACTTTTATTTGCTATTTAAACTTTCAATTTGTATTTGTTGGTGTGAGAGAAGTTCCTCTTTGGAACTGAAGGGTTATATGGTACTACCTAAACAAATCTGCCTGGTCCTACGTCTTTTAAAAAAAAAAAAAAATTCTATTTTTTTTACTTTGCTTGTGATTTGACATAGTCTTCCCAGGGCCAGGGTCACGTTTGATGGTATTTAGAGTATGTGCTGTCCTATTCCTTTGTGTTGGAGATGCATTGACGCCTTTGGATTGGTGCACTGCATTTTGCCCTTATTATGCTCCTTGATTCTGTACGTGGCAGTATCCTTGTTATAGATTATATGTATGTATGTATGAGTAGCAATAGTGAAGATATATACTATATCCTAAAATAACACTAATATATAGTAGATGTTAGAAGTCTATTGAGATGTTAAATAAATCTGCAACCTAAAGTGGCAGCATGATGCTTAGCTGGCAAATTACCAAACAGCTTATCTAGGCTATATAACCAGGGCAAATGTAATATATAACTCAAGAGAATTAAGCAGCATAACCCTTATACTGGATGTCAGCTTAGTCCTGTATGGGACAGCATGCAGTACAAGTGTAAGCTCTCAAGTAGGCACAAATTCCTCTGAAGCTAAAGGGACACTATAGTCACCAGAACAACTACAGCTTATTGAATTTGTTCTGGTGAGTAGAATCATTACCTTCAGGCTTTTCAGAGAAAATGCAGTGTTTACATTACAGCCTAGTGATAACTTCACTGGCCACTTCAGATGGCTGTTAGAGATCCTTCCTGGGTCATGGCTGCCTAAAATGCACCCAAACATTCAGTGTCTCCTCCCTCTGCATGCAGACACTGAACTTTCCTCATAGAGATGCATTGATTCAGTTCATCTCTATGAGGAGATGCTGATTGGCCAGTGCTGTTTGAATTGTGCTGGCTCTGCCCCTGATCTGCCTCTGTCAGTCTCAGCCAATCCTATGGGGAAGCATTGTGATTGGATGAGGCCACCAATTCTGATGTCAGAGGAAGTTCACAGGCAAAGGCCGCAGCTTCAGACTTGAATACAAGGGGGCTAGATAGTGGTTTTAATCTCAATAACAGTTTGCTTAATTCTGTGTGGAATATGCAGTATTGGCAGGGGCCCTCAAGCAAGCCCAAATTTCTTCAGTTCTGTTTCTTGCTTCAATAGCAGCTAGTATGCCATGAGACTTCCCTTAATGATAAACCAGTGGCCACCTGCAGATCGAAGTAAAACCTCTATTTACAGTGCACTCCTTTTCACATTAAATGTAGTCCATTCAATGTAAACAATACACAAAATGATATCCTAACATATCTTGAGTTTTAATTTATTTTCTGTATACATATTTTTGTGCTACCTGTCTCCTTTACAATCGTTTAAATTTAATGAATTTTTTTTTGGGGGGGGGGGGGATAAGGTTAATAAACAAAATAAAATTACTTTCAAACTAATTCTATTCTGTGACTCTAGCAGAATATTATTGACCTCAAAGAATCATTACAGGAATAAGGATGAGTTTAACCCCTTAAGGACACATGACATGTGTGACATGTCATGATTCCCTTTTATTCCAGAAGTTTGGTCCTCAAGGGGTTAATATCCACTTTATTTTGCACTGATGTCGAGTATTGGTTGAAGATGGGTTTATTTTTTTTAAGTGTTCAATGGTGCTTTTTAATTTGAAATATCTAAAACTAAGCTGGAGTTTGAAGAATTTGAACAAAATTGGGTGCCATCGACTAATTGAATACTATACATTCTAAACTTGGTTATATTCATGCACATCATATTCTAAAAGAAGAAAGCAGACCACATACCAAAGAAAGTTGTAATTCTACCAAACAGGTAATATCTTTCATTGGATTTAACAGAAATGGGAAATCAAAAATGGATACACCCAAAAGGATAACTACCTCAAACATATTCTAAATCACAGTATGGAACATTCTTTGGCAGCGCTGTTTAGTATTAGAGGAAACCCCTTATCACAAGAAAGCTATTGAGGCGAATAATTCAAGAAGATCCAAGAGAAAGGCAAGTTGAAGACATTAAGACCACGTTTCAAGAAAAGAAAGCAACTACCATAATTTTTGCATTCATTTTAAGTGAAGCTGAAGTGCCGGTTTCTCATTTTGTCTGGTTGGGCTAGACAGCCATTAGATGGGACTGGTTAGTAAAAGAGACCTCTGTATTCCTGAATATAGAGGACTCCTATTTTGATGTGAACGTGCCTGCATTAAAACTTATTACTGCAGAAGCAGCATAGGAAATCTTGAATGTGCTCCTCTACAATGAGCAATGGATTGGACCATCCGCAGAGAAGGCCATGCCTCATCTGTGAAATTGCTGAAGGAGAGGTTAGTAGCACCAAAGGAGCCTCAATGCGGGAAAAAGATATAGGGGTGTGTGTACTTTTTTTTTTTTTGTAATCGGGGGATCAGGAAAAAAAAACTATGGTATGAAAATACTAGCTTTAGGAATCAAATTTGTACTTCTAATGCTATAGTATTTAACGATTGTTATAAAAATACAATACGATTGTTACTATGACATACAGATTTGATCCCCCTCTAAAAAAGCATAAGTTGGTGGTAAAATGGTTGCATGAAGAGAGTCAAAATACCCCAAATGTAATACCTTAGGTTATCTTCTTTTAAAAATATATACATGTGATTCTTGGCATATCAGTGTTACAATGTAACTTGCCTTAATTAAAAATAAAATAAAAATAAAAATAAAAAAATGGTTTGGATAGCAAAGTGCCAATTGTACCCCTATAACTTGCAAAAAAAAAAAAAAAGCTAAGAACATGTTCACATTAGGTATTTCTAAACTCAGGACAAAATTTAGAAACTATTTAACATGGGTGTTTTTTGGCGGTTGTAGATGCTTAAAAGATTTTAGGGGTCAAAGTTAGAAAACGTGTGTGTGTGTGTGTGTTTTTAAAAAAATAAAAATGTCATTATTTTGTATAATTTTTTTTTTATAGTAAATTATGATGTTAAAAACAATGGTATCTTTAGAAAGACCATTTAATTGCAAGAAAGACTGTGTGTGTGTGTGTGTGTGTGTGTGTGTGTGTATAATGTGTGGGTACAGTAAACGAGTAGGCGGAAAATTAAACACAGACACTGCAGAAATGTAAAAAGAGCTCTGGTCCTTAACGGTAAAAAAATTGAAAAGCGGTCTGGTAACTAAGGGGTTAAGTTGATAGAAACTTGTTACTAACATGTAATCTGAAACTACAAATTCATAATTTGAATAGACTTAAATAGTTTCCATTTGGGGAAAAAATAAATATAATTAAGCATTGGCCTAGCCTTAGGCAATCTTATCCTGAAATTATTGAATGTGAACAATTTACTTTATCATATAAGACATACCCCTAATGTGAGTCTCCCAGTGTGAGCATTTTTATTTTATTTTAATTTGTTTAAAAATATTATTATTTTTTTGGTTTAGTCCCCCCCTCCCTGCTTCTTACCAGGGAGGGGGGATATGGTATTCCCTGGTGGTCCAGTGGCTTGTTAAGTACAGTGGTGGCTCAGCAAGCGCCGACTTACCTCCTCCAGCACCCTGTGTAAATCTCGCGGCTCTTAGTGCCGCACGGAGCATTGCCATGGTAACCCGTGGCAATGCTCAGCGGCCGCGGGTCTCGCGAGATTTACACAGGGTGCTGCAGGAGCTGCTTGGAAGGTAAGTCGGCGCTTGCTGCGGGCCCCCCACAGGACCGCCGGGCTTGTAACGGGCCCGGCAGTCCTGTTATATATTATCAGCAATATCCGTATCTGAATTGGCCGACACCGATATTGCCGAAAATACCAAATATCGGCTGATAATATCGGCCAGACCGATAATCGGTCGATCCCTATTAAATATTCTGTACTCTGCCCTTGGGTTTTTATGTCCAGGATGCATTATCTTGTACTTATCCACATTAAATGTCAGTTGCCACAACTCTGACCATTTTTCTAGTTTACCTAAATCATTTGCCATTTGGCTTATCCCTCCTGGAACATCAACCCTGTTACATATCTTAGTATTATTCAAGCAACTATAACTGGCTACATATTCATGAGACCCTGCCCCCTACCCCCCAAATTAGTTGTGTGGCTGGCTGTCCAGGCAAATAAAACTATTTAGCCAATTCCCAAAAGTGGAAAAGAAACCCAGGTTTTAATAGATACATGTGACTCCTCTCTACCAACTGGGGCCATTTTTAAAGCTGGGCATATGAAAGAATAGAAATGGAGTGAAGGATGTTCCTGAAGTGAGTGTTACACGAAGAGTAACACCCACAGAGCATGATGATGGTAGCGGTGGAACAGAGGAAAAGTTTTAATCTTTATATTTTTCATGGCATACACCATGTATATTTGCGATATATAATGTATTCAATGTATATTGGGATGATTTAAGGAAAGTTTAATTATTCATAACCGGTTCATTTTAAATGCCTTTTTATGGAACTTTTTGCAGCTGTGGCTTCCAGCACTGCAAACTGCTCATCTAAAAGTCTGGGGCCACTAAAAATGGCTTTATCTGAGAAAGGGGAGCACCAAGCATGCATTGATGCAGGATGTTCTGTGCCACCCTGCAGGCTTTAAAGACCACTTTATTTAGCATGGCATAAACCGCCATAACTGCTTTAAGGGTTTAACAAAACTGTCAATTTATTTTATTTTTGGGACCGTATGTTGAATGCTAGCAAGTCATATTAGGTGTCCTGCTACCATGCTAGTTCAATTGAAAAAAGAAAAAATGCAATTATTTTTCTTTTGACTTTTGTTTCTCATCTATTTCCTTGCTCTGAAGAAGAAGGATGAAAGAGCTGGGTTGGTGATCTTTGCTTAGAACTGCATGTCCTCTCAGCTGGAATACAGACTTAAATCCTGTCTCCTTAAAGTTATATTTTGGGAGACTTCTCCACCTTGCTTCCTGAAACAATATGTTTGGGTTGACTGGAACTTTGTTTTTTCCTTCTGCTGACTTTTTCAATTGTCTAGTTTCAGGCTCTGAAATTGACTCTAGATGTGGATGTTTTTATCTTTATGCAGGATGAAAGCTCTGGCATTGCTGCCTCAATGGAGGCAATGGCTGAGAATGTTATGGATACACCTGAAGCTGTGGAGGTAAGTGCTTTGTGTAGAATTGCATCACATCAATGGATCATTTCCTTTGTTATGTAGAGCACTTCTATTTCTGGACATATTGTTGTGATTTTAATATGAAAAGATTTTTAGCTTTTAGAATGTGGTTTATTCCGTATGAAATTCTCCTGGTTAATCTCATACAATGTTTTCATGGCTAATCCTATGCAATTGTTTCATGGCTAACTGGCAATATTCACCTTTAATGAGGCCGATCTATAGCTCTCGTTTGTGTTGCATAAATAAAAAATACAGAAGAATTGTTTAGATTACTCTCTTTCTGGGAAATTTGTTAGAGAAGTTAACTGACTTTAATATTTGTTCGTCATTGACTTGCTGAGTGTTGTACAAAACATGTTGACCCAAAAACAAGGGATGATGCATGCAGTTTACTAGAATTACACTGTATGGTTATGTGATTTAAATGTGTAATTATATTATGGTTTGTAATGCAATAGTTAATTTTTCATATACTTTTTTTTTTTTTAAATTAAATTTCTTTTATTTTCTCACCTTCTGCATAGAAGGGAGTGCATGGAGAAAAACGCCCATCAGATGGCTTCACTGCTGATCATGCCCTTAGACAGGCTCAACTTTCCAAGGAGCTGATAGAATTAAATAAAGCATTGGTGCTAAAAGAAGCCCTTGCCAGGAAGATGGCTCAGAACGACAGCCAGCTGGAGCCCATTCAGGGTGAATACTTGAACAACATAAAAGCACTGGAGTCAGAAGTGGGTGCTCTGCAGAAGGAGAAGGAAGAGCTGATCCTCGCTTTGCACTCTGCCAAGAAAGATGTGAATCAAGCCAAGTGAGTGACATGCAGTGTCCTGTGTTTTTGGATGTGTATAAGAATAGGGTGTTGGGTGAAGTCTGAGCTGCTATTTATGATGAAACTTGTTGTCAATTTCTCCAGCTTATTGAGTCACAGCTTTAGTGATAGGCTTAGACTTTTTTAAAAAAAAAATTATTTAGCATTAAGTTTAGCTTAGGGGACTTTAGACTTGTTGGTAATCACAAATGGGTGGTGCTGCATTTTGTTTTTCAATCAGTTTGGTAGCTAGTGTGTGCTCGCCAAAATACTTTTACACTTTTTTTTTTTGGTCTGAGCTCTATCATTATAATGGTACGTGCTTAGTAGAATCTAGATTAGGGAAGAAACTCAGTGATTTAATTACTTGTAGTTTTTCTCTGTATATATTTTTTTTTGTAAACCTTTAGTTTAATTTTACCACTATTGAGCAACTGTTCAAGTTGGAGTTGGCCCTCCTCCAATATCAATAGAAATGCATTAAAATGTATAACCAACTTTTGATGATTGCTGCAATAACAATTGATCTGCAGCTTTTACAATGATTTCTTACTAGACCAGGATGTGGCTGTAATGTTGAAGTCAATCCTATTGCTTCCCAATCCCAGTGTGTGCGCTCATTAGTTATACTAAAAGACCTAGAAACAGAGGTTGGAAGATTTGTGAGAGAAGGAACTTGTCTTTTTCGAAATTAAAAGCATTTGATTTCTTTATAGATTGAGTGAAAGGCGGCGCAAGAGGTTGCAGGAACTGGAGGGTCAGATGAATGAGCTAAAGAAGAAGTTGAGTGAAAAGTCAAAACTTCTGAAACTTAGGGAGGCCACCGAGAAAACTGTCTCAAAGCTCAACCATGATATCCAGGTACAAATAAATGTGCTGTAAGTTATCTGTACTCTTTATATTTACTACTGAGCAGATAAACAAAAGAAAAATGTCTAACACTAAGATTATCATTTATATAGTGCCAACATATTCCGCAATGCTTTAGTTTTACAATGGGGATGTATGACCACAAGTAACTGACGTACAGAGTATTAGAGACGAGGGAAGAATGCCCTGCTCAAATAAGCATGCAATCTATTAAAATAATGTGAACGGTGTACAGCCACTTCTTAATGATTTTTAATGTTTAGTTATTCCCTATAGCTAACAAGTATACAAATGTGAGGCTCGAGAAATTAAATGTAAAAATAAACTCTTTATCCGGCCACACCATTTTTGGTTTCCTGTTAATTGTTATAAACAGTCAACTAGAGAAAACGTATGGAAAAGAGGATACATTAAACAATGTTTCGGTTTCCCCTCCTCATTTGGAATGTGTGCTCTGGCTTTGCCGGGACTGAATTGGATTGTAACACCAATTGCAAGATGTTTGTATGTAAACTGCATCACATGGGGGGGAAAAGGTTTAAGTGGCTGTCACCTTCACGAATCTCTGCAAATTTTTCAAGACCCCCCCAAACATCCCTGTTTGAGATATGATGGCACAAGGGTGCAGCTAAAGATAGATATCTGCCACCATCTTCATTGTTCAGCTCCTGGAGCTTCATTCTGCACATCAGTGCTCCGGAGACAATGTCCTGCAATCCAGGAGAAGAAACAATCGCTAGCAAATTATATGGTAATTTACAAAAATTGATGGTGTAAGTTCCTCTCTTTGTCAATTCATGAGTTGGTATAAAACAGAATTGATTCTACTTTGCCTTGTTTAGTTTGACTGTTTTGGATTTACAGTGACATTCCAATAGTCAGTGTGAGTATTTTTTGTTAAGTATTCCATCTTTATGGAAAAACTCACAGGGTTATTTACTAAAGGGAGAATTTCAAATTTAAGGCCATAGTAGCCAAACTCAAAATGTAGCTGAACCAGTTTGGCTTTTTTGACTTTAATTGAAATTTACTTTGAATTCTCAACTAAACTTTCACCTTGTCAATATTTATTAGCTACAAGTTATAGGTGACTTAGATCACTATTTTTTCTAGGTAAGGGACTGTTCCCCTTTAAGCACCTTTCTTCATCTTTTGTTCAGGCAATGAAAGTACAGCGTGTGCAGCTTATGAGGCAGATGAAGGAAGATGCGGAAAAGTTTCGCTCATGGAGACAACAGAAAACTAAAGAGGTTATTCAGCTTAAGGAGAAGGCAAGTGTTTTATCATGCAGCTCATATGCTGCACTATGTGATTTGTAATAAGAAACCTGAAGAAATATTTGCTCTGACCGTTGCTATATTCTTTTGCACTTATTACTGAAAAAATTGTGAAAATGAATCATGGGTATAATTTTCTTTTTCTATTCAGGACCGCAAGAGACAATATGAGCTACTTAAGCTTGAACGAGACTTCCAGAAACAGGCCAGTGTCTTACGAAGAAAAACTGAAGAGGTAAATATGCATTTTCCTTCTTGCCAAATTAACATTCCAGTGCATAGAAACCGGTATCACATGTGCATATTATGTTTTCTGTTAAGGCGGCAACTGCCAACAAACGTCTAAAGGAAGCCCTTATGAGGCAGAGAGAAGCCATGGACAGACGCAAAGATGCAGCACACAAAGGAATGGAAGGGGCTGCAGCCAGAGTCAGAGTACGTAAACCTCTGTTATGCATAATTATTCCATGTATTAAGGCTGTATTAAAGGGTTACTCCAACCACCGTGACCACTGACGTTTGTATGTTCACTGATGCACTCTGCCGGATGTGTTAACTACCTCTAGCAGCGTCATTGGAGTGTCGTCTTCCAGCCCAGAACTTCTGTGACAGTTAATGTAATCTCCATGCAATTTCCATTACATAATTTTGCATTCATAGGCTGTGTTGTCCGCTAACATGCTAGGCTACTGAATGGTGAATACCATGGCTCTGCAGAAGCCAGAAATCCGTCACTAGACCACCAGGGAGCAGCAAAGTCTGGCAGGGGAGCCCGTTGAGTTGGCAAACTATTGCTAAATGGTTTACCTTATTACCAGGGAACAAGGCCACGCTACTCCTGGCATCATAACCACTACAGTAGGCTGTAGTGGTTATGTTTGGAGTAACACTTTAATATTGTTCATGCAAATAGCAAAATGTCTTCTACCAAGTGACCAAACTGTATACAACTTTAAGTTACAGGCATATTGCTTTCATGAAGATCAGACAATTGTTAGATTTGTATAAATATTTGTTGCATTATAGTTTGCTTTTTATCATTTATTTCCTTTAGAATTGGCTTGCTAATGAAGTAGAGGTTCTTGTTAGCACGGAAGAAGCTCAGAGACATCTTAATGACTTACTGGAGGACAGGAAGATCCTAGCTCAAGATATTTCACAACTGAAACAAAAGAAAGATACAGGAGAATCCATTCCTCCAAAAATACGGGTGAGCATGCGCTACAAATGTTTACCATTGTCCTTTATACTTGTTTTATTACACTGATTTTCATTTTTATTTTTGTCCTGTAGAGACGTACCTACACTGTAGCAGAGCTGGAAAATATGGAGCAAGAGGCATCAATCACAAAACAGATTGAGAGTCTAGAGACTGAGATGGAGCTTAGGTATAGTGTATACATATGTATATTTTATTTTACGGAGAATGACAGAACTTTAGCTAATGTATAATGATTTGAGGCATGTCCAAAACTTTCATAATGTACATGTTTCTTTACCTGTTTTTCTGCTATCCTTTGTCAGGAAACCCACTGCTTATGTATTATTTTGCTAGGGCCAAGCTATGATTAGTCAGATGTAGCGGATACAAGAGGACAGGTCCCAGACCTTATTCTGCCAGCCTTTATCCTTTTAAAGAGATATTTAGCAAAGAGACAGCCTTTCCTTCTAGCACTACATGACCATTAGTGCCAACGATTTTCCAGAAAGAAAGAAGTACCTTCAATTCCTCCACAAATGTCAGCCAAACTTTTGATAAAGTGGGGAACTGAACAGTTTTGAGACTGACACAGGGCTTTTATACATGCCTTTTGTTTGTACAGTTAACACAAGCCAACCAGTTAGTTTTTTTAAATTAAATTACAGCCAGTGTTCTGTTTACAAGGAAGGGTGGGGACAGACAATTGACTAAGACTGTGGACAAAATTGAAGACTTAAGGGAGTGGTGAAGCAGCCAGTTTAAACGTAAAGCCATCTTTTCTCACAAAGGGACAATGCCCAGCTGAAAAACAGCAATGCAGGGATGGGGAAGGAAGAGAACACACAGTGGACAGTCCTTTAACTTATGGCCAACCACACATTTAAAAAAACAAACAAAAAAAAACTTGTGCCTGAATGTTATTGTAAGCGTCATTGGTTTTACACCAATATTTAATTTATATTTCAGTCCGATCTTTACTACGTGATATGGTTATGGTGCTGGGCATTACAGAGCTTTACTTTTGACTAACAGAAGCTTTGCTCAGGAGCACCCAGTGGACCACAGATTTTAAGGGGTACAGGTAACTCCCACAGTAAGGATTCTTTCCCTGGGGTCCAGTGTGGCTGCTCTAATCATCTTCAAGCTCTTCTTGCTCTGCACTCTTGCGCGCTGTTTAGTAATGCCGGGTAGACATAGTCCTCCTTCCGGCATCACTGCAGGGGAGAAGAGTAAGAAGATTACAGCTCCCTCGCACGCCCACCTCCTTTCTCCCACAGCCAGCCAATGGGCTGACAAACATCCATGCACCTTTGCGACATGACGCCTAAGATTTTTTTTTGCCCCGACTTAACCAAACAATCCAAATATCATTCTGTCTTAATGGCCTATGTAATGAAATCGTCTACTTGAGAAATGGACAATTAATATTAAAAGTACTTTTCTATTTATTGTGATATATATTTTTGGCTATATTTGGTAATTGACATATGGTTTTGCTAACTTTCAAATGGTTGACTAGACTTTTTTTTTTTTTTGTTTTTTTTAAATGCTACTGTCATAGTTATTGGGTATCTTTATCCAACCATCCTTTAACCACTAAATTAAGTTTATGGAAGAAACCATAAACACTATGTAATTTATATAGAAGTATTCTTCTAGCAAACTCAGTAGCATTGATACTAACGTAAACCTTTATTTTTTTTTTTATTTTTTTGTATTCCTGAAGGAGTGCACAGATAGCAGACCTGCAACAGAAGTTGTTGGATGCAGGCAATGAGGAGGAAAAAGCCAAACAGAGATGGGAAACCATTTCAAATATAATGGAAGCAAAATGTGCACTTAAATATTTGATGGGAGAGGTAATTGGCCTAATATATTTTAATCTAACTGCTTTTTTTCATCCTTCCTTTGACTGTTTTGAGGTGTCTTGTTTCCCTTTTTCCACGCCAAAAAAGTAAAGTATTCATTTTAAAGTAAAATCTGCTAAAACTGTGACTGAGTGCTTTGAAAGTAGCACTTTTTTTTTTTTTTTTTTTTTAACTGCAACACTTTCTTTTCATTGTACACAAGTGATCCTTTTGCTCCTCTTTCAAACTTTTTCTAGCTTGTCTCTTGCAAAATTGAAGTCAGCAAGCTAGACAGCAGCTTGAAACACAATAAAGCACATGCTGCAGACCTTCAGAAGACCATCTTTGAGGAACGCAATCAGATGGCTGAAATGGAAACGGAGCATCAGAGCCAGCTTGTACAGTTAGAACAGCAGCACCAAGAGAAGGTACTAACCTGAGACAGGTCATGCTTGATTTTTTATTTTTCCAGATATTTATTTTTATTAAATTAGAGGTTTTTTTTTCAGTATAATTAGTAAGATTAGTTTTAAAAGGAATGCTTTGGGGGCACCAGCAGCACAATTAAAGTGCATATGATAGTTTTGGTCTTGTATTCATGCTGCTTTTTTTTTTTTTCTCTACTAAATCTTTAGTTTTTGCTTAAAAAATAAATAAAGACTTTGCTGCTCTCAGCAGCATGACTTCTCCTTACACACATCTTGATTTGACAGTATACAGTTTAGCTCACCAAGTGAAATAAAAGTATGAGCTGAGCTGCCGTCTTGGATCCACCAGCACAGTGACTTACTGTTTTCTCTAATGTTTGTAATAATTGAAAGCTGTTCTATGGATTAAGGGAGCATTTTATTACAAGAGAGTGGTTGGCCGTGGGTGAAGGCATGTCTGCAGTTTATGGATAAACTATAGTACAAAACTTGGTGATATCAAACTCTTCACCCTCCCCTTAATTATAACAAGAAAAGTGATAGCTGATGGCTCCACCCAGTGTGTATACTTTTCTTATGTCTGCAGTTTAGCTCTCACACACATCTCTCATCGGTTCAGCTGAATTCATACTCAAAATAAATCTAATACGTAAGTTGTTTTGTGAACTGAAAGTGTGGAGTTACACTCCAGAAAGACTGCATGAATTGCACCAAATGCATTGGTTTGTGCCTGGCGTGACCTTTAACCCCTTAAGGACACATGACATATGTGACATGTCATGATTCCCTTTTATTCCCAAAGTTTGGTCCTTAAGGGGTTAATTTAACTATGTTCCATTTACATTATGAAGCCGAGATATGTGAAAATGGCTTCTCACACTCCAAAATGAATAGAAATATACACATTTAAACATATAACAGATGTAAGACATATTGCAAATGTAAATACAGTGCAGTGTACAATGTGGCATTTGTGAGTGGTCAAATGGAAGATTATGAAGTGGCAATAAGACTAATTTAGACTTTTTTTTTTTTCTTTTTTATTCCTACAGATCCTGTACTTGTTAAGTCAGCTACAGCAGAAGCAGACATCATCATCTTCTGATGAGGTAGAAGATGACAAAGTAACGGAGCGGGAGGCACAACTAATGGAAAGGTTGAAATTTCAGGTATGTTTCTGTTGGAGCCAGTCTTCCTGTTTTGGAGCCAATGTTCTTCACTCCTGTATTTTTTTCTATGCTGAATTTTCTTTAGACAGATGTTTGTTTTTGTTTTTTTTTTTGCTTATGTACTGTTGTTTTTAGTGCTTCAGAGCAATCCAGCTGAAGAGTTGAGCATTTTCTGGCACTAGCTTCAATGAACCGCCTTCCATGACACATTCCAGCCTCTTTACACCGCTAACTGAATATATTGCAATTCCAACCAATCCCATTGAATGACTCTCCTCCAAGTAACTCCATTTGGTCAAGATGATCTGGGAAGTCAGGCATAGGCCATGGAAGTTTGTGCGGCTTATAGATTGAGCAATCGTGGCATGCACAAGTACTTCTAATGGCAGGGCAAAACCTTGTCCACTTTTAGGAGACACGGAAGGTTTAAGATTTCAACAACTTTGCAACTTGCTGCAGTTATAACCACAGTGCATGGAGACAGGAACACACTAGTATATGCAAGGGACAAAGGATATAATTCCTTGAGTTTTCTTTTTGATAATGAGAAGAAAATGACATGCAACAGTTTCTTATGAGTTTTCAAGAGCAGCTTGCTTCACTGTCAGTGTTTTGTTTGTTTTTGTTTTTCTTTAAAGTGCACGAATAATAATGATCTTTCCATGTTTATTCAGGATGAAGAAATTGAGAAAATGAAGGAGCTGTGTGAAAAGAACCAACAGCTTCTCCAAGAAAATGAAATCTATAAACAGGTGAGGAATAATGGCTTGCACCATAAAATCAATATTTCAATGTGACCCAATCTCTACAAATGCAAGGTCTAAAATTCTTTCCAGTTTTCTTAATTGTTTCATGCCTTTTGAAAGTACTGCTAAAATCACCCAAGCCAATTTATTTAAATGTCGTAGCCTGGTTACAGTGATTCTGTCCTTGTGACTCTACAATATAAACCATTGTCGTGTTAAATCATCCTCTTGTGGCTTATCCTCTAGTTTTTTTACTAGGGACTGTAAAGTGTTTGCACTAATGCTTTAGTGTTTTCATTGCTTTGGCAAAGCTAGTTTGTAACTGTCATGGGTGTCCTTTTAAAAAAATTTTTTTTTTTTTTTTTTTTTTTTTATATATATGATCATATGGCCTGTCACCAACATGAATGCTACAGATGAAACAAATTATAAATATTAAACATGTGTATCACCATAGAACAGTCAGGCATCTGTTAAGGGATTGGTGTTCATACTGCACATTATTGAAACCTGTGTGGGGGTGAAGAGGGGGGACTTTGCAGATAATGACCTGTAATTGTTAAAATAGTGTTTTCATTAAGTTCATGAGGGGCATAAATAAATTATATTTTTTAAGTTTATTTTTATTTATTTTTTTAAACTTTTTCTACTTGTGTCTGTAAATAGGTTCCAGTGGCTGTTCAATTGCACAAGTATATTTGTACTGGCAAAGCTGAATAGCCTTTAGTACTTTCTCTGTTGGCTTTTCATCCCTTTTAATAAGGATCCTAATACTCCAGCTTTACCTTACATTCCAATAATCACTTCCAAAACACTCTAAAATATAATTTATCCTAAAGATATGCAATCCATTTTTGAGATTTAGAAACTTTCAGAGCATTACTTATCTGCTGCCCAGCAATTCAGCACTGCCATTCTTGGTGGGTCCATAGATGTTCGTGCTGGCTGATCTTGACCACATTGCCAGCACATCGGAGTCGTGTTCTCCATACTGTGAGAAACACCTGCTGGGGAAGTCGCACTTTGACAGGGAGCAAAAGAACTGCCTTTTTGGAGGGTTGCTTGCGCTCCTTGTCACTGGTGACTCTCTGCTGCTGGCACACAGGACAAATGCTATGGTTTTGGTTGATTGGCGAGGAAGAGCCAAATAATGTTAAAGGGCAATACATAAAAACCTGTAAATGTGCTAGTATTTCAGCCTGTACAGAAGAAACTTAAAGCGGCACGGTCATGGCCGAATCCTGCTGGTTTTTATTTTTTTGGTTTGGTTTTTTAATCCGCCTCCACTACCTCTAATTGACCCCCCACTCTCCCCCAAATGCCCTTAAGCACCCCATATTACCTATTTTTTAATCTTTATTTTCTGCCCCGATCTATATTCAGGGCGCCGCCATCTTTGTGTGGTTAGATGAAGTCCCTGTGGGACACGTCGTCTGCCCACACTAGACACTGTGAGATTCCCGCACATGCCCAGTTAAACACTAGGGCATGCGAACGGGAATTTCATCCATCCATTCATTCATCAGAAAGACGAATGAATAGAAATGTCAGACGAACAAACACTGTGTATCAGCATTTGTTAATTCAGTTTATTAGAAGGAGGGAGCTACCGGCGCACAGCTCCCTCCTTATAATATGTAAAGATAGAAGCGGCAGGGAGCCACTTCATAAGCACCCCAGGTCCCCCCTCACTCTATGGGATTAAAATCTCCCCAATGCTCCCACTCGCTATACCGTGAGTAGGGGCATGTCCACTTAACAGTGAGCAGCCTGTGATGTATAGGGGGGGTTAGTAGGTTTTTTATATAACTGTGAGCAGCCATAGGCTGCTCACTATTTAATAGACATGCCCCTACTCGCGGTATAGCGAGTAGGGACAGAATTTACTAATACTAAGTAATCTTTACTTAGTATTAGTAAAGTTGTCTGAAAGACCAATTTAGGTCTTTCAGCATTTTAGTAGATAACTCCCTGATACTGGGGTAATTAGGGAGTTATCTACTAAACGGCTGCAGGATGCACCCACAGCACAAATAGGATCGGAGTTTCATTCATTCGAATGAAATTGCGATCCGAACAAAGTCCCGAATTGCATCCTAACACGAATGGAGAAACTGTTCTCCTTCTGTTAGGATGCAATTCGGCAGTTTCGTCAGTGTTCTAAGTGACAGGACGTTCGGCAATACTGACAGGAAGCATCATGGGAACAGGTAGGAAAGCTAAGGGTCATGGGAAAATTGCTCTGACCAGCGGAAGTGAAGCACACTTTGCTCCTCCGCTGGTCAAGTGGAGGAAACCTCCATAAGGCAAAGAGTCCCTACTTTGTCTTATGATTTTTAAAGAAAACTAAAGACAGGAAGAAAAGAACAGATCCTGAGAGAGGGGGAGACGAGGAAGAGATTGAGGAAAGGTAAGTTCGGCATGACAGTGACGCTTTTAATAATCTTTAATGGGGCATGGGTGCCCAAAAGGAAGACACCCCCCCCAGCCCCAAATGTTTTTAAAACTACAGCATCCATGATGCTTTGGCATCCTAAATGCATGCAAAGCATTATGGGAGTTGTAGTCTTACATCTGGGGATCTCTCTATTGGGCTTCCCTGATATAAGACAAAGTTGTGTGTACAGTAACAGATACACTTTGATGTGGTGGGACGCTATAATTTGCTGTTGTAAAGCATAGTTGCCATTATAAAGAATCTTCTACAAATGAAACTTTTTAATTTTTTTTTCTATGTATATGGCAGCCAAAATGCAAAGGAATATGCATGAGAATTCAGGGGTAGATGTGGCACGTTTTTGTGTTCGAATACTCTTCAAACCTGATGTAGCGTATTTATTCTTCCTTACAATGAACTAATTAACTAATAAGCAATTGACTAATCGTTGGTTAGCAGTGCAAATCTCCTTTTAATATATCCTATTGCTCATGTTAAAGAATGTTTAAGCCTTGCAGGAATGTAATGTATCTTAGAATGATTTGGTTTTTGTGTAGATAACCGAGAGTTCACCTAACTGTTTTTTTTTGGGGGGGGGGGGTTGTTTTTGTTTTTTGGCCCCTCTGCATAGTTGCATGTAAAGTAGTGGAGAAATTGCATAAATTGTATTAAATTATTTTAGGAACTATTGGATAACTTCTTTGCGTATTGCAAGTAGAAACTCTTTAACTCCATGACTTCAGTTGTATTTATTAATCTTTTCTAAAATAACCACACATTTGGTCAAAATATTGCAAAGATAGGCTTTGAAAACCATGTATCTCACGCAGCTGCCCGTCTAAAGTAAATCCAATGTCTAGACCTGTGCGGATTTTGTCTTTGTAATACACCAAACATAACCTTGGAGGAGGGGAAGTTAAAATTTCCTTCTGAAAAGGATCTGGCGACATTTCGCTTTTAGGAAACCTGGTCAAATATAGCTGAACGTATAGGTCTGTGTGTGGTCTTAGATATGTTAACAGTTGGAACATTGTTTCTTGGAGATGACTTACTCCTTTGTCAACACATGTTTTTAGAGAACACATTTCATTGATAACGTTTTGTATTTTGTCATACAGAAACTAACCCTTCTTCAGGTCGCAAGTGCAAAGAAAATGTGCAACATCTTCCCAGAAACTGTAGAAAATTCTCCAGGCTCTCCCTTCGACTTCATACCTCCAAAGGTAAACTTGCAAGTCCTCCTTTCAGTCATGATTTAGTTAATTTAATGTTCCTGGAGTCACCATTTATTACTTTCAACAGCCAAGAAATAGACGACGAACAAAAACAACGGCTCTGATTCTGGAGGACCTGCTATCGGAGTCTGAGGAGTCTGAAGATGAAACAAATGACAAAAATTGGAAGCCTGGTGGCGGAGGGAAACAAACGAAAAAAGTATTAACCGGGGTAAGCACTAGATATTGAAACTCAAGGGGGCCATCTTCACTGGGGACCATCCTTTTCTTAAGATAATTATATTTGTAAGATACAATTTTGATGTCTTAATTGCCAGATCAAACTTTGATTTCCCTCATAGAAAGTATACTTCTATGGACATAATAATAATAATAATAATGTCTTGGTATCATCATAACTGTGGTCAGGACATTGCGTGTTCATTGCAAATATTAGTATTAAATCGGAGTTAATTTCACCCCTTTTCTATTAAATACAGTGCTCTTGTAAGGCACGATGTGGAAATAAAATGTGCCGCTGCAGAAAGACAAAGCAGAACTGCTCGGAGGATTGCTGCTGTGACCCTTCAAAATGCAGAAACCGAGAGAGTCCCAGTGTGAGTGCCTATGGTGGACTGTAGCTCCCTTTTTGTTTTGCAGCCTCCTACTTTCTGAAAATTGTATTCTTTAACTGTTTATGAGAATTTTTAAGTGTCTTTAAATTTGAATGCTGGTTAAAGTTGTTGGAACAAGTGTAATTTCTTTGCATTTTTAAGGGTCTGGTTGTTTTTCTGTATGACCTGGCTGCTGTGGCATTCTACACAAGGATAGCCTTAGACTTTCCCTCTTCTAACGTTAAGATGCCTCCCACTGCTTGCTCACCTGTCACTAAATTTTAATATACCTTTTTTTTTTTTTTTTTTTTTTTTTACCAAGAAATTTTCATATTTTTAGACATTCTTGAGTTTGTTTATACTTCTTGTAAATAGAATACTTAAATATAAACAATTGACTAAGGAACAGTATTGGGTGAGATTTGGAAATACTCATATAATTAGTATCCTTCAGTTCAGAAAAAGTTGAAACCACTGTAGTTAGTATATAGTATTCAACATATTGTGAAACAAATTGATGCAATTTGGCTGCAAATCAAATCCATAAAGTCCCTCCCTCAATTTAAAACCTTAAAGGGACACTCCAGGCACCCAGACCACTTCAGTTAATTGAAGTAATCTGGTTGCTGTGACCCTTTTGCACTTAGTGCTAGAATCGAAACCGTCGATTATCTGACGTTGGAATCCTCACGGACCTCCAGCGTCAGATTTTACCCATAGAGGGACATCGACGCTGGATTCAGGTAAGTAGCTGAAGGGGTTTTAACCCCATTAGTGATGTGGGAGGGCGGGGGGCACTCCAGGATTCTCTAGTGCCCAGAAAATGGATTTGTTTTCCTGGCACTGGAGAGTCCCTTTAAAATACATATCTATTTTACTCTTCATTGGCAGCTTTATAATGTTTCCAACTTTAATTTAGTCACAAGCTTTTGCTTTTATAACTTTAAGTTCTTCCCAAAACTGTTTCAAAATTTAACTCCTAACCTGTTACTCTGCTTTACCTTTTAAATTTGGCCTTCAGGATGATGTAAGCGGAGAGGATCAATCACAGGAATCTGAAAATTCCTTAAAAGCAGAGTACCCAGCAGATGTAACAGCTGGTGGCTCCTTCTTTACACCACCATGTGTCACCCCCACCTCCAAGGTATAGTAAATGCCTACTTGATTGGATGTTTCACAAGTTATAATGCATATATGTTTTTTAAATGTTTAACTTCAAATTATTGCTGTTGCAGTTAATGATATAATTATAACAATGGTACTTTTTTCCATTTCCTAGGTGCTCCGTGAAATAGGTGATATAGGTCAAGTGCTTTCATTTAGACTTCAACGGAAACAAAGCACTAGCTCAGATGCACAACCCAGTTCAGAATCTCAAGACAACCAGCCTTCAATATTTAAGAAAAAGAAAAAAGCTCTGTGCAACAGTAATGCCAGTTTCTTCTCTGGTTTCTCCCCGATCACAGAGGATGAATAAAGCAGAACATATGCTCAGAGGCTTTCATTCTGCCACTGTACAACACAAACATTCTTAGTCACAGCATTGCCGTGTGTAGCAGAGTGGTAAATGTCATACTTGGGGTGAAACGTGCTGCTGAGTGTTAACTCCTTCTCATTGATTGGTGAAAACCTGAACAAACAACTAAGGAGTACGTGTTCAGAAATTAAAACCTTGTAAATATTTATGTGTGTGTGTCTGAAGCCTTATGTCCAGGTTGCTTGGGTTATGTGCCGAAGGAGAATAATATACCCACGGTCTTGGGTTTTATTTAATATTTTAAATTGGTGAAGGGCACTGTATAGGCCAAAATCTATGTAGTACCTTGTAGTTATGCTGCCAGCATACCCCTGGCGCTCTTCCCCAAGTTCTTTCAGTTTTTGAGTTTTTTGAAACTCAGGTGCTCATGGCCTGCTAGCTTGCTTAGCATTGTGGAATTTACTTCTCCTCTGCATTTTCATTACTGAAAAGCATTCTTTACTGGGTGAGATGGCTGTCTCACTAAGCCAGTGAATGCTGTCTAAATATGGACCTATTAATATTGCTAATGTGAAAGTGTAACAAAGGGCTGGGCTGCAAGAACCTTCTGTGTAAACTGTTTGAAAATGGTTTGCCACAGAATTGGGGAAATGCCAGGTGCATGCTGGAACCATACCCACTGCAACAGGCTGTATTGGTTGTGTTCTTTAATTTTAGACTGGCAGAAGCCTTAGAGTATAGTCAGTGTACATAGTAACTAGTCCCAAATGAACTGTGAAGTCTTAAATTACTCCAATCCCAGATTCTCTGTAGATTTCATAAACCCTGTAGACCAAAGTCTGTCTGCTCTGGTCTACAGTGTCAGATTGTATTAATGTTCTTGCATCAAATTCTTGTGATTACTTTTTTTTAAAAATTGATTAACTCTAGGTTCTACTGTTTTTATCATGTATCTGTCCATCATTATTTACGCTAAACATACATTTTAGATTTAATACTAATAAAATATGCAGATTTTTTTCCCATGTTCCTCTTAAATTATCGCCGCGTTGAAACAAGACGTATTATTAAAGTGTGTGTATTTGTATAATCAGACGTTTATTTGGCCTTCTCCTGTTTCTCTGCATGCATACATACACACTAAAAAAAAAAGTGCAAGCATGTGCTTATATGTACGCACACCTGCAAGGCAGCCTTCTGTGGGAGAACAATGACAAGGCTTTCAAACTACGATTTTGTTTGGATTGAGCATGTATGCACGATGCCTGTGGAAAGAGACTTAGAGCAGCTTAGAGGACATGAACTATGACCCTCAAGATTTCACTTATCTATAGGATAGAAACATAGAATGTGATGGCAGATAAGAACTATTTGGCCCATCTAGTCTGCCCAATTTTTAAAATTACTTTAATTAGTCCCTGGCCTTATCTTAAAGTTAGGATAGCCTTGTGTACATCCCACACATGCTTAAACTCCTTCACTGTGTTAACATCTACCACCTCAGCTGGAAGGCTCTTCCATGCATCCACTACCCTCTCAGTAAAGTAATACTTCCGGATGTTTTTAAACTGTTGCCCTTCTAATTTAAGACTGTCCTCTTGTGGTGGTGGTTTTTCTTCTTTTAAATATAGTCTCCTCCTTTACTGTGTTGATTTCCTTTATGTATTTAAATGTTTCTATCATATCCCCCGTCTCGTCTTTCCTCCAAGCTATACCTGGTAAGTTTTATCCTGCAATCCATGAACCAGTTTAGTAGCCCTTCTCTGAACTCTCTCTAAAGTATCAATATCCTTCTGGAGATACAGTCTCCAGTACTGCGTACAATACTCCAAGTGAGGTCTCACCAGGGTTCTGTACAACTACAATGGCATGAGCACTTCCATTTTTCTACTGCTAATCCCTCTCCCTATACAACCAAGCATTCTGCTAGCATTTCCTGCTCCTCTATTACATTGACTGCCTACCTTTAAGTCATCCGAAATAATCACCCCTAAATCCCTTTCCTCAGATGTTGAGGTTGGTACTATAAAATATTCTGTACTCTGCCCTTGGGTTTTTACGTCCAAGATGCATTATCTTGCACTTATCCACATTAAATGTCAGTTGCCAGAACTCTGACCATTTTTCTAGTTAACCTAAATCATTTGCCACTTGGCTTATACCTCCTGGAACATCAACCCTGTTACATATCTTAGTATCATCAGCAAAAAAGACATACCTTACCATCAAGATCTTCTGCAATATCACTAATAAAAACATTAAAGAGAATGGGTCCAAGTACAGATCTCTGAGGTACACCACTAGTGACAAGCCCATGCTTTAAATATACTCCATTCAATATTGGAATCCAAACTTAGATTGCAGTTTATTAATAAGCCTTCTATGTGCAACAGTGTCAAAAGCCTTACTGAAATCTAGGTAAGCAATGTCTACTGCACCACCCTGATCTATAATTTTAGTTACCCAATCAAAAAAATCAATAAGATTAGTTTGGCACGATCTCCCTGAAGTAAACCCATGTTGTCTCTGATCTCGAAATCCATGTGGTTTTAGATGTTCAACAATCCTATTCTTTAACATGGTTTCCATCACTTTCCCCACTACTGAAGTAAGGCTTACTGGCCTATAGTTGCCCGACTCCTCCCTATTACCTTTATTGTAAATGGGCACAACATTCGCTAACTTCCAATCATCTGGGACTAATCCTGTTAACAATGATTGGTTAAATAAATCTTTTAATGGTTTTGCTAGTACACCACTAAACTTTTAATAACTTTGGGAGTATTCCATCAGGTCCCATTGACTTATTTGTCTTTACTTTTCACAGTTGAAATAGAACCTCTTCCTCTGTAAACTCACATGTAACAAATGCTTAATTTGTCCATTTCCTAACTGAGGCCCCTTTCCTTCATTTTCATCTGTGAATACTGAACAAAACTATTAATTGAGGCAGTCAGCTAGTTCTTTATCCTCCTCTACATACCTTCCCTCTTTTGTTTTTAATCTAATCCTTGTTTTAATTTCCTTTTCTCATTTATGTATCTAAAAAATGTTTTGTCCCCCCCCCTTTTTTTTTTTTTTTTT